CCCATCTAGTTCAACCTAGCACGTCTTTTTTTAGTATGATCTATATGTTTTAACCTACTGCATTAGCACTTTCTTAAACATTGTGCGAGTTTATCTGCCCACACAATATGCTCAATTCCAAAAAACCAATACAACAGGATAAGGATCTTTATTTTAAATTAAAAGCAACAGTTATTGTCAGTCCAATGAGATTTGCAAATTGGAGTCACATGTCTAAAAGAGAGGGTTTTTTTTTTTACCCTTCTGGTAAATATAATCTCTTTACAAACTATATTTGGCTGACACTTTGTGAATTCCCTTTCACAACTCCTTTTAGATGAGCCCTATCATTTTAACATGGGCTGGTTCAAATCTTTGATGTGGCAACACATGTACTCATGAAAGTATGTGAGAATGTTCACACAATGCATTGAGATTAACTTCAGTTATTAAAACAGGTAGAATGAAAATTCCTGTTTGCTTATTTCATCTGCACAGGATTGGAATAATTGAAGGGAATTTTCACTGAATTTATTGTGTGGACGTTCTTAAATCTTTTAGTAAATCAGGCTAATTGTCAGTGCCTATGTGTTAACTTTTTAAAGTTATCAAGAAGATCAATTATCCACTTCCCTTCCGACATACGTTTATAAACATCCTCGCTGCAGCAGCTGCAGCAATGATTGAGACATAATCTTTTATCCCCGGTGGTTCTGCACAAAGTAAAATCAATCTGAGCAGCAAATTAGCCACTGGATTTCTCTTCCAGGTGGCGGAGGGGGGTTCCACCCCCTTCCCACAGCCGCTTTTACCGAGCTCCCCTATCCAACTGGAGAGCCTGGCAAGGATGCGACTGGAGGCATCCAGCTCTAGGCACACAGTAAGAGGAAAGGATATCATTCCTCACACTCTGTGATGTCAGAAACAGAAAGCAATGAGGATTTAGTTACTGCCTGTTTCCGTACTTTGTTTACCTGGCTGGTACCGGCCAGGGAGTAAGCTGATCAGACCAATTAGTGTCTGATTGGCTGTACTGGAGGCCAAAGGAGAGTTTTGGAGTTCAATAGACCCCAGATCTCTCCACAAAGACAACCTGTCACTGCCCATGCTACTAGAAGGGATGTTGTTCATCCCTAGTCATAGCAATAAAGTTGATTAAAAAAAAGTTAAAGTTAGAGTGGCAACAAAAAATTTAACTAAAAAAAAACTTAAAAAAACTTTAAAGCACCCTGTGCTCATGCGCAAATGTGAACGTACACGTAGGTCCCACACGCATATCTAAATGGCAATAGCACTACACATGTGAACTATCACTGTGAATGTCAGAACAAGAGAAATAATTTTAGCACCAGACCTGTGTAATTCTAAAATGGTAATTTGTAAAGGCTTTTAAAATGCCTATGGACATTTTTAGGTACTGTAATCTGGCGCCATTCTATGGCTGGACGAAATTTTAAAGCATAAAATATTTGGTATCTATTTACTTGGAGTACTATCATCCTTTATATTTTACCAAACAATTGGGTATTATATTGTGTCTTTGTGCATGAAAATCCATTAAAGTGTATTTTTCTCAAAAAATCTTAATCTGAAAAACCGCTGCACAAATATTGTGTGACATAAAAATATGCAATGCCAACCATTTTATTCTCTAGGGTCTCTGCTAAATTATATATATATATATATATATATATATATATATATATATATATATATATATATTTAGGGGTTCATTTTCTAGCAAAATAAAATATGTGTTTTTACATGTAGGAGAGGAATGCCAGAATTGGCCTAGACTTGAAGTGGTTATATTATGATGTGCAATTAAAAATCCACTATCAGCAGCAATGCTATGGAATGTTCAGTAATATCTGGCAACTCTGGATTAACAACTTAGTTTCCTGGCCTGGGTTATATGTTCTCACTTTAAAGATAACTATATTGATTAATGATTATACATAGTTATTAAGATTGAATACAAACATGGGTCTATCCAGTTCAGTGAGTACGCGTGTGTGTATGTTTGCACATGTGCATGCCGCTATGAATTTCCATATTCCTGTTTAATGTGTTTACTGAGAAAGTTTTTTCAAGTTATCTATACTCTCTGCTAATACCACTAACTGTGGAAGGGAGTTCTACATCTCTACCATTTTAAAGCTGGGTACACACTGGCCAAAAATTGACAGGTTCAGTAGGAACTGGCTGACTTTGGGTTAGTGCGTACAGCTGTCTCTCCAACAGAAGCTGGTGTAACAATGGATTTTGTCAAAGGGACATGCTGGAAAACCAGCATCCAATTAGTGCTTGATGCCAATGGCTGTGAGCACCGATCTGTCAATCTGGCTGGAGGGAAAGTGGTCTGTCAGAATTCAAAAGAACATCAGGGGAGATCATTGCACCAAGATCACTTGTGTTGGTATGGCGTTCTGTCTGTTTTTTTTTTTTTCCAACCTCCTGGGTTGAACGTGTTTGGAACTACCACTGCTTTATTGTCTAGAGTGCTTGCTTTAAAAAATATATAATATTTTGAGAGTTTATGCAATCTTCAGGTCTAAAATTAGTTTTTAAACGTGTGCAAAAAACACAAAAATGTCTCTGGTAATGAAAGAGCTAAACCACGTCTTGTTGAACTTCATTATTTGTCTATTCAGTTTAGATTAAAGAGTTTTTTTCAATACTACATATACCATGGATAGATGTGCATATTGAGATCATCCCCTCTTAAGTGCTTCATCCATGAAAAATAAGTTTAATTTTTGTAGTTTTTCTAACTCTAGACCCCTTTCTTCTCTGAACTCTCTACAGTTCAAGGACATCTTTTCTGAAGTTTGCAGATCAAAGCCGAACTGTATAACCAAGATGAGGCAGAACCAGAGTTCTGTAAACTGATAAAATTACAATTGTATGTCTTTAGTAAACACCCTGTTTAATATATTATAATAACCTTCTATCTGCAACTTGGCATTCCATTCTATTTCCGAGCCTGTTGTCTGAAAGAAGACCCCCCCCCCCCCAAAATATTTTTCCATCCTTGATTGCCCCAGAGAATCTCCCCCTAAAAAGTATCTTGCATACATATTTTTAGCCCCCAAGTGCATAACTTTACATTTTTCAATATTAAACCTTATCTGACATAGCAGTAGCTGCCAAGCCCTCTAGTTTATCAAAGTCTTCTTGTAAAATTGCTATATCCTGTGGCAAAGTTATTGACCTGCATAGCTTGGTGTCAACAGAGAAACACTGAGATCAAACTATTGATTACAACCTCTATATGATTTATAAACAAGGCAAAGAGAATTGGTCCCAGGACAGACCCCTGGAACACATCACTCACAACTCCGGACCATTTAGAAAAATAAACATTTATCACAACTCTATGGACACGCACATGTAACCAATTTTCCATACAAGCACATATAGGTTGTTTAATGCCAATATCGCATGCTTTAACAAAATTCAGGTAAAAAAACTATTTCCATGGGCCTTTCTCTATCCACATATTGCTCACTTACCCATAGAATGTTAAAAGGTTGGTCTGACAAGAGCAGTCCATCATAAATCCATGTTTGTTGCTACTAATGACATCAATTTTACTAACAAATTCTTGTATATGGTCCCTTGTTATTCCTTCTATTACTTTACATACTATTGATTTTAGGCGGACTGGTCTGTTGTTTCCAGTTATATCTGAGTATTGGTACCAACTGCTTTTTACCATTCAGTTGGTACTATTCCAATCAGTAGGATGTCTTTAAAAATTGGGAACAATGACCTTGCTATAATATTGCTAAGCTCTTTGAGACCGTTTGGTTGTAAGCCTGGTACTTTTTTTAAATCAAGTTTTTCTGTTTTTTTTTAAATTAGTTTATGCTAGTAACAGAGGTACATCCAATACAGAGTTATTATCATTTGTTTGTTATAGTCCTCTTTAGAAAAACTGAAGAAAAGAATGTAATTGACATATCTGCCTTCTCCCTTTCATTTTTTAGCAAGTTTCCCTATTAATCTTTTCATGGGCTTATATGGTCTGCCTAACCTTTTTTACTATTGATATATTCAAGTATACTATTGATATATATGAGTTTTTTTCTTTTTTTCTGCAGCAATATTTTTCTCTTAATCTATGTAGGCTGTCCTGACTGTGCTCTTGCATTTCTTATTGCATTCTTTTGTTATTCTAAAATGCTCATGGTGACCATTCTTTCTTATATTTTTAATGGCTATTGTTTCCCAATTCTTTTTTTTTTTACCCTAGAATTTAGCCATTCAGGTTTAAATTTAGTTTTTTATATGTGTTGTCCAGTGGAATTTCTTCTTTTGAAATCAGCTCTGTGTTGTTTGAAATTTAAAGATCCAACACAGCATTATTTCAAGATTGGGAGTCCACCATTAGACCAACAAAATTGTCCTGCAATACATTCAAGAAATGACAAGCCCTAGTTGAGTGTGCATTTCCATCTGCCATATCAACATCAGGATAGTCCCCATAATAATAACTAGAGATGAGCGAATCGAACCAGGCGAACCGGAATTCGAGTCAAATTTCAGGAAATATTCGATTCGCGGCGAAACCGAAATTTTGCCTACTTCGGGTGCGCGAATCGAACAAAAAGTGTATCTGCAGCGCTCCTCTAAGTGTATCTGCAGAATGTCATTTATGGAAAAAAATAGATACAATGTTTCAACCGCTGTATGGAGTGAATGTCCCAGAACTGTCATAAATAGTCTATTTCTGACAGTTCTGGGACATTCACTCCATACAGCTGTTTCAACCGCTGTATGGAGGGAATGTCATGGAACTGTCAGAAATAGACTATTAATGACAGTTCTGGGACTCTGACAGTTCCATGACATTCCCTCCATACAGCGGTTGAAACAGCTGTATGGAGTGAATGTCCCAGAACTGTCAGAAATAGACTATTTCTGACAGTTCTGGGACAATCACTCCATACAGCTGTTTCAACCGCTGTATGGAGGGAATGTCATGGAACTGTCAGAAATAGACTATTAATGACAGTTCTGGGACTGTCCTTCCATACAGCGGTTGAAACATTGTATGTATTTGTTTCCATAAATGGATCCATTTATGGAAACAAATACATACAATGTTTCAACCGCTGTATGGAAGGACAGTCCCAGAACTGTCATAAATAGTCTATTTCTGACAGTTCTGGGACATTCACTCCATACAGCTGTTTCAACCGCTGTATGGAGGGAATGTCATAGAACTGTCAGAAATAGACTATTAATGACAGTTCTGGGACTGTCCTTCCATACAGCGGTTGAAACATTGTATGTATTTGTTTCCATAAATGGATCCATTTATGGAAACAAATACATACAATGTTTCAACCGCTGCATGGAAGGACAGTCCCAGAACTGTCATTAATAGTCTATTTCTGACAGTTCCATGACATTCCCTCCATACAGCGGTTGAAACAGCTGTATGGAGTGAATGTCCCAGAACTGTCAGAAATAGACAGAAACTGTCACAGAACTGTCCTTCTCATCTTCATCCTTCTCCTTCTTCTCATCCTTCTTCTCATCCTTCTTCTCATCCTTCTCCTTCTCTCATCCTTCTCCTTCTTCTCATCCTTCTCCTTCTCCTTCTTCTCATCCTTCTCCTTCTCCTCTTCTCTCCTTCTCCTTCTTCTCATCCTTCTCCTTCTCCTTCTTCTCATCCTTCTCCTTCTCCTTCTTCTCATCCTTCTCCTTCTCTTCTTCTCATCCTTCTCCTTCTCCTTCTTCTCATCCTTCTCCTCCTTCTTCTCATCCTTCTCCCTTCTCCTTCTCTCATCCTTCTCTTCTCCTCTCTCTCTCTTCTCCTTCTCCTTCTTCTCATCCTTCTCCTTCTCCTTCTTCTCATCCTTCTCCTTCTCCATCTTCTCATCCTTCTCCTTTTCCTTCTTCTCATCCTTCTCCTTCTGCTTCTCCTTCTCCTTCTTCTCCTTCTCCTTCTTCTCATTCCTTCTCCTTCTTCTCATCCTTCTCCTTCTTCTCATCCTTCTCCTTCTCCTTCTTCTCATCCTTCTCCTTCTTCTCATCCTTCTCCTTCTTCTCATCCTTCTCCTTCTTCTCATCCTTCTCCTTCTCATCTCATCCTTCTCCTTCTCCTTCTTCTCATCTTCTCCTTCTCCTTCTTCTCATCCTTCTCCTTCTTCCTTCTTCTCATCCTTCTCCTTCTCTCATCTTCTCATCCTTCTCTTCTCCTTCTTCTCTCCTTCTCCTTCTTCTCATCCTTCTCCTTCTTCTCATCCCTTCTCCTTCTTCATCCTTCTCCTTCTTCTCATCCTTCTCCTTCTCCATCCTTCTCCTTCTCCTTCTTCTCATCCTTCTCCTTCTCCTTCTTCTCATCCTTCTCCTTCTCCTTCTTCTCATCCTTCTCCTTCTTCTCATCCTTCTCCTTCTCCTTCTCTTTCCTCATCTCCAAGGGCATTTAAATTAAAGGTACAGTGTTCTGCACTAATTTAAAGGCTCTCTGAAGCCTAGAAACCCTTTTTATAAGTCATCTTCGTAGCGAAGAAATTCGCATCGAATCGAATTTCACACTGGAATTCGCCGAATCAGCCGAATCGAATTTTTGAGAAATTCTGGAAAGGAAAAAAGGATAATTGCTTCATGTACACATTAAATAGTTTGGCTCTTCTAGATAAGAACTCTTCATAAAATTATTTTGAGTTGTCACTTTGCAAAGCCAATATCCATTTTGCTAGGTGGATGGTCCCTATTGTTTTTTTTTGTTTTAAAACAACCCCTTTGTCTCAGTCTAGCCCATTGCACTGGTTCTTTTTGTATGAATTGTGCATGTTAATTCTGAGGTGACATTTAGGAATAGCATGGGTTATTAGAGCTATGAAGATTGTAAACCTAAATTCACTTTACAATTGTCACAAGCACAGTACATTCTTGAAATCCAGCTTCCCATTTGATGTTGTCCTTTTTTTTTATCTTCCACACTCAGAAAATATGCTCTCTTGCAGCAAGTTAAAACACTGCTCATAGGCAGGTGCACACAATTTTTACCAACACCCCGAGATAGGGATTTATCAAGAGATAAATACTGGTTGTGCCTCATCTTGAATATGCAGTTCATTTTTGGTCACACATCCTCAGGAGAGACATTGTTGAATTAGAAAGATCTCAGTGGCAGGCAGCAAAATTAATAAGGGAGACAGAGGGCCTCAGCAATCAATTACACAGATTACAATTATTCACTTTGGAGAAGAGGCACTTGAGAAGAATATGATAACATTGTACAAATATATCAAAGGTGACTTCCATAACTGTAATAAACCATTTATTATAAGGCCCATGACAAGGAAACATGGTCACGATTTGAGGTTAAAGGAAAGGGAGGGATTTTTACCTTTAGAGCAGTAAAAATGTAGAGCTCCCCCCCAACTACAAGGAGTGGCACTAGCTCTACAGCTGTTGGATGTTTTCGTAGAGAAATGCCAGCTAAACAACACCTGCTTGGTTTCCTCATGAAGACCCATCAGTTGATCTGAGGCCTGATCAGTACACATGCACTAATATTAATAGAAAGGCTAAGATATGTGAGTGTCCTCCACTCTGTAAAGTGGTGTGTGTACTACTTTATAGTTGTCTAATTTCCCTTGTTCCCCTATAGTAAAAAATATACAAGTTGATATATTAAGAACTTTGCTGACTGTGTTTGTATCAATATTCACAATTGTGGTACTTCATTGTGTTACAACTATAATAGTCAAAAGTTTTATGCTATGCAGTTGAAAAAGGACTAAGATAAGTCTTTAGCCAGCTGATTTATTTAAAGTAAAATAGAATAGGATCTAGCAGTTACATTCTAATAATAGATTATTATTTAAGATCATTCATGCAGTATTGGTATTTCCTATAAATTGGAAACCCACATGAAAGAATTGGATGTCTGTGTAATAGCATCAGTCTAGAGATCAAAACTACATTCCATGTTATTAAGAAAGTAAACATATACTTGCCGGTTCTCCTGGTAAACCAAATCCAGGTGGCCCTGGGTCTCCTTTAGGACCAGGATGTCCATGAGGCCCCATGATTCCACCAGGTTCTCCCTTTAAAACAAATAATCAATTGGATTATACTCTGTGGGGGGTGGGGGGGTGCAGTATATCACACATGTCTGTTATTTCAGGAAACAGATCCACTAGGATATGATTATTCCATGTATGCAGTTTATTTATGATCTAGTCAGGGCTCCATTTACAATTAGGCACTCTGGGATTACACCTATAGATAAGAGGCAGCATATCCCTGTAAAGGTATTGTTCACACAATTTTTCTCACCTTTACTGTGAATACAAACCCTCTTATACAAGTTTATCTACAACAGTAGAACATGAAAATGTTCTTTGTAACAGTGGTTATCCAATAAGAGGGTTGTTACTTTGAGCATCAGAGGTGTTGGACTATGATGAGCATCCTTACCAGCCAATAGGAATGTGCAGGTGGCAGGGACAGACAGGCAAACTTTGGTAGGAAGTGCAGAAACTTTACCTGTCAGAATGGCCTAATAATCATCCATGATAAGTAGGTTTAGGAGGCTGTTTTGGGTATGTACACACACCTCTAGGTGTCTGTACTTCATACCTGCAGCAGTTTGCCCTCCTCCCTCCCATAAAAAAAGTATTCTTAAACTGGAAATTTTGTTATTTATTTCAAACCATTAATGGTAGAATACAATCTCTCTTCTGTCCTAAATGTTGTTCCCTGCCTGCTAGAAATGTTTCTCTTATTGGATACTAACAGCCAAAAATGTGCAGCTCAATGTACAATCCCGCTATGAGTAAGCTCTGGGTGCCTGGCCCTATCAGATCCCTAGGTAATTGTAGCAACAAGTACTCTTTATAAGGGCATCAGGGGTCTATTAGGCCTCTGAACACTAGTGCAAACAGTTCTAGGTGCACTTGCAGGATCATCTCTAGCAGAAGGAGTTTGCTAATGGATGTTCTCATTCTCCCCCTCCCCCAGCCATCCTGAATGCCTCTACAGTGGTCCCAAGTTCATGGAGGTTCAAGGAGCAAGGTGAGCTCAGAGATAGCACAACCACTTGATCACTCAGCCACATATTGACATGTACAAGTAGTTGCTTGCCTGTAAATTTTCTACAGTAAAACAGAAGTTGGGCATGGTTAAAAGAAAACAAATGTTTTCACAACATTGCCACAGTGCAGTGGGGCCAGAGCATGAATTAATAATACCCCTGATTTAATTGGTAACCACACAAAATGCTTATGAACAATATTCCAGCCCCATCTGCTGCAGCTCATTCATTGAGTTCAAAGCAATCTCTAGAATGTGCTACAACTCTAATATTTAATGTTTTTAAACATACTTCCAGAAAGGACCTCAGTTAAAGTCTAAATGCATCCAAAATAAACACAGAAAAATCAGAACAATGGACATAACTTACAGCTAATAGGATGTGTCCCTTGTGCTGATGTCTCTTATTTTAGTTGAAATCCTTCTCTGTCCATCCCACCACCCCCGCTTCTGTAATCTTTTCACTGAAGTAGAGGTCAATACAACTAACCCTGCCTCCTGCTCATCTGCCTGCTTAAGTAATACTGGCCTGTACCCTGACTATTCTCCTGCCTGCTGTCCATGCCTGATCTGAATATCTGTTACTAACCTGGCTTGCCTGACCACATATCCTGTCTCATCTTTACTACTACTCCCCTGGTCCTTGCTGGTCATATGCCTGCTATGTGTCCGCCAGCTTGCTCTTCACTAGCAGAAAGCCCTCTGGTAGCCAAGCAACTGCCGGCCTGTCATCTGCCGAGTGCAGGGTTTGCTGGACCTGCTGTCATCTGCTGTTGTCCATCTGATCTATTCCTGGTGAAGCACCAGCTATATACCTGTGCAGTCTGCTTGACACTTTACAGGCACTTATACCTCACCATGAACTTGTGACCACTGTCTCACTACCAGTGGTCCCTGAGCCGGAGCTGTAAGAAAGGCCTCCCTCTACATGTCAGGCTAAATAACCAGGTACATGGCAAGGGCTTTGTACAGCAAGCGCATAACATAAAACAAACAAAACATCTGCTTGTCCAAGCCACTAACTAAACTCAAATCAGCACTCCTAGTTAACAGGGTGCTCCCTAATGGATTCTGCAAAACAAACTGGAAATATATATATTTTTTTTTTTAATGGAATCAGTCAGTCTCTTCAGACAACAACATACTTTCACATCAGAGAGAGAGAGAGGGCATGAGAAAGTCTTGAGCATCAGTCAGCATGCGTATATAAAGGCCTGTGATAAGCTGAGACTGATATTAAGGTCCAGCTACAATGTCAGTTGTGGAACTACTAGCAATGGAGAATTTGTCCCACCTAATGCTCTACAAAGTCTCAGGGCTTTAGTTTTCAAGACAGACCATACTAAGATTCTGAAAATAAGAAAGTTCATTATCTCCACATCAGCCATAAACTTTGGAGTCCCTCACCATTTCTATGTGAGAAAACGGAGGTGACACATACATATCATCCACAATTTGGCCAGCTGAGGCTTCAAACTCCCTCCCTCTCTGCTCA